GACGCATTCAACACCGCCTTGCACACTCTATCCAGCATCTAGCTGATCTACAACCAGTGAATACTATAGTAAAACCCACAAAAAAACTACAGTGAATACTATAGTACACAATATATACAAAAGTATGTGGACGCCCCTTCAAATTAGTGGATTCAGCTATTTCAGCCACACCCGTTGCTGACAGGTGTATAAAATCCAGCACACAGCCATGCAATCTCCATAGAGAAACATTGGCAGGAGAATGGCCATAATGCAGAGCTCAGTGTCTTTCAACGTGGCACCGTCATAGGCTGCCACCTTTCCAACAAGTCAGTTCATCAAATTTCTGCCCTGCTAGAGCTGCCCCGGTCAACTGTAAGTCCTGTTATTTTGAAGTGGAAACATCTAGGAGCAACAACTGCTCAGCCACGAAGTGGCCACACAAAGGGACGGCCGAGTGCTGAAGCGCATAGTGCGTAAAAATTGTCTGTCCTCGGTTGCAACACTCACTACCGAGTTCCAAACTGCCTCTGGAAGCAACGTCAGCATAAGAACTGTTCGTTGGGAGCTTCATGAAATGGGTTTCATGGCCGAGCAGCCACACACAAGCCTAAGATCACCACGCACAATGCCAAGCGTCGCCTGGAGTGATGTAAAGCTCGCCGCCATTGGACTATGGAGCAGTGGAAACGCGTTCTCTGGAGTGATGAATCACACTTCACCATCTGGCAGTGCGACGGGCAAATCTGGGTTTGGCGGATGCCAGGAGAACGCTACCTGCCCGAATGCATAGTGCCAACTTTAACGTTTGGTGGAGGAGGAATAATTGTCTGGGGCTGTTTTTCATGGTTCAGGCTAGGCCCCTTAGCTCCAGTGAAGGGAAATCTTAATGCTACAGCACACAATGACATTCTAGACAATTCTGTGCTTCCAACTTTGTGGCAACAGCATGACAATGCCCCCGTGCACAAAGTGAGGTCCATACAGAAATGGTTTGTCGAGATCAATGTGGAAGAACTTGACTGGCCACAGAGTCCTGACCTCAACCCCATCCAACACCTTTGAGATGAATTGGAACGCCAACTGCGAGCCAGGCCTAATCACCCAACATCAGTGCCCGACCTCACTAATGCTCTTGTGGCTGAATGGAAGCAAGTCCCCGCAGCAATGTTCCAACAGCTAGTGGAAAGCCTTCCCATAAGAGTGGACGCTGTTATAGTAGCAAAGGGGGAACCAACTCCATATTAATGGCCATGATTTTGGACTGAGATGTACGACGAGCAGGTGTCCACATACTTTTGGTCATGTAGTGTATATATTTATAGTAACACTACAGTATACTACAGTATTTTTTAATGTGGGCATAACGGGAGCTGAGAATGTTTTTATAAAACTGCTACTGTTATATATTTCTCACATACTCTAGTTTTATTTTGTTTGTACTGTAACATCCCACATAGCCTTTGTGCCCCAGCAGGCCTGGATCCAGAACGCCACTCTCAGGAACAACATCCTGTTTGGCTCCCCACTGGAGGACACTGGTTTCCAGGCTACGCTGGAGGCCTGCGCCCTAGGGCCCGACCTGGAGCTGCTGCCTGGGGGAGACAAGACTGAGATCGGGGAGAAGCTAAGAGAAAACTGGGTGGTCTGGAGGTGGTTAGGGGAGAGGGGCTGGAGCTGGGGAGATGGGCCCTTGAATCATAGTTGGTCAGTGTGTACACTGAAAACAACATATCCACGTGCCAGTGATGATGGACCCTGTTTTTGTGCCTGTCCCTCAACACAGCTCATTTAAATGCAAAAGCTATATTCTATCTTTATGGATACATGCCAAGTATAGACCATACACTAAGTGTAAAAAACATTAGGAACACCTGCTCTTTCCTTGACATTGACTGAGCAGGTGAATCTAGGTGTAAGCTATGATCCCGTCTTTATGTCACCTATTACATACACTTCAATCAGTGTAGATGAAGGGGAGGGGACAGGTTAAAGAAGGATTTTCGTCTTGTCTCGTCAAGCCTACCAGCATGTTTTTCCTGTTCTCTCTCTGGTTTCTAGTTCTCCCGGTTCCGACCTATTCTGCCTGTCTTGACCCTGAGCCTGCCTGCCGCCCTGTACCTATCAGACTCAGACCTGGTTACGAACCTCTGCCTGTCCTCGACCTGCCCTTTGACTGCCTCCTGTGGTTTTAATAAACTACTCTGTATATTGAACCTTCCGTCTCCTGTGTCTGCATCTGAGTCATATCCTGAGTCGTGTTAGTACGAACTGGCCATGACTGACCCAGCAGACTCGGACCAGCTTCGCAACGGCGTCTCCTCCCAAGGAGCCACCATTGGGAGACACGAGGAGTTGCTTCGAGGTCTTATGGAAGGATTCCAGACCTTGGCGGAACACCATGGCCATGCCTATAATACATTGCTGGAGCAATTCCACGGATTGTCTGTTAGGCAGCCAGCCTCGACAGTAACCTCCCAGCCCCTCAGTAACCCTGCTGTCAGCAGCGCGTCTCTCCAGCCCACACCGGCTTCCCGAGAACCCCGCTTATCTCCTCCAGAATGCTTCGCTGGAGAGTCAGGAACCTGTCGGGCGTTTCTCTCCCAGTGCTCCCTCATCTTCGAGCTGCAGCCCTTGGCCTTTCCCTTAGACCGCTCGAAGATAGCGTACCTCATAACTCTGATGTCCGGGAGGGCTCTCGCCTGGGTTACGGCAGTGTGGGAACAACAATCTGCCATGTGCTTCAGTCTCGAGGTTCGTGGCTGAGGTGAAAAAGGTTTTTGATTCTCCATTGTCCGGGAGAGAGGCTGCCCGGAAGCTACTCCAGCTTCGTCAAGACTCTCGCAGTGTGGCAGACTATGCGGTTGATTTCCGCATGTTGGCTGCCGAGAGTGCCTGGAACCCGGAATCCCTGTTCGACACGTTCCTTCACAGATTATCGGAGGAGGTTAAAGATGAGTTCGCAGCCCGGGAGCTGCCTACGGATCTCGATTCACTCATCGCCTTGACCCTCCGGATCGATAGGCAGCTACGGGAAAGTAGAAGGGAGAGGAGGTCTGATTCCAGTCCCACTCTCTGTGGGGGCTGTCCTGTCCCAGCATTCTACCCTGGACCTAAAGCTGCATCCCTGCGCCTTCTTATCCCATCGTCTTAACGCCACGGAGAGGAATTATGATGTGGGAATCGAAAACTACTCGCGGTGAAGATGCCGTTGGAGGAGTGAAGGCACTGGTTAGAGGGGGCGGAACATCCATTCATTGTGTGGACGGATCACAAGAACCTGGAATATCTCCGCACAGCCAAGCGTCTCAACTCCAGGCAAGCTCGATGGGCCCTGCTTTTCACTCGGTTCAACTTTACCAACTCCTACCGCCCGGGGTCCAAGAATGTTAAGCCGGATGCGCTATAGCCCCGCTGCTACACCCTCGGACCCTGAGACCATCCTTCCTACCTCGTGTCTGGCAGCTGCACTCATCTGGGGAATAGAGAACCAGGTCCCAGACGCTGCCCGCTCACTGGTCCTGGAATGGGCTCATTCCTCCAGGCTTGCCTGCCACCCTGGCTCCCATCGGACCATGGTCTTTGTGCGACAACACTTTTGGTGGCCCACCATTGTTCCTGACGTCTCCACGTTCATCGTCGCCTGCACTGTCTGTGCTCAGAATAAGACTCCTCAGCAAGCTCCGACTGGCCTTCTTCAACCACTTTCTGTCCCTCACTGCCCCTGGTCACATATATCCCTGTATATCAGCCCTTCGTCACTGGTCTCCCTCCATCTGATGGCAACACCACTATCCTTACGTGGTGGACAAGTTTTCCGAAGCCGCCCATTTCATTCCCCTCCCCAAGCTACCCTCAGCCAAGGAGTCTGCCCAGCTCACAGTGCAGCACGTTTTCCGGATCCATGGACTTCCGGTGGACATGGTCTCAGACAGTGGTCCTCAGTTCTCGTCCCAGTTCTGGAAGGCGTTCTGCACAGTCATTGGGTCATTGGCCAGCCTGTACTCCGGGTTTCAGCCCCAGTCTAACGGCCAGTCGGAGCAAGCCAATCAGGACCTGGAGACAACTCTTCGTTGCCTCGTCTCTGCCAACCCCACCACCTGGAGCCAGCAACTTGTGTGGGTGTAATACACCCGCAACACCCTTCCCTGCTCAGCCACTGGTCTATCCTTTCGAGTGTTCGATGGGATATCAGCCCCCGCTCTTCCCTGAGCAAGAGGAAGAGGTCAGCATACCCTCGGCCCAGATGTTCGTCCGCCACTGTCGCCATACCTGGAAGAGAGTCTGCTCTTCTAAAGACCACCTCCAGGTATCGACGACAGGCGGACCGCCAGCGGACCCCGGCTCCCCGTTATCATGTTGGGCAGAGGGTATGGCTGTCCACTCGGGATCTGCCGCTCCGGGTGGAGTCCTGCAAACTTTCCCCCTGTTTTATTGGCCCTTTCCTCATCTCTAAGATTCTTAACCCCTCTGCTGTTTGTCTTCTGTTGCCCCGCACCCTCTGTATACATCCCACTTTTTATGTATCAACGATTAAACCTCTGTCTCCCCACCAACTCACCAGGTGGACCTTTCCACATGGATAGTCCTCCACCCTGGACTTCCTAACCGTGTGTTAGTGCATGGATTACAATGTAAGTGGACTTTGTTGGGGTTCATGTGTGTAATAATACAGGCTCTCTATTTCTGTCCTATGACAGAGACCACTTCCACTAGTTCCCTCCTACTTCCTGTTTGCTGTGTGTGTGTGCCTGTCTTGAGTGTGGCAATAAACGTGTGTTCTGTATATCTGTCTCCTACTGGTCATTACCACGCCTAATAACTGAGGCGCCGGGACAGTTGTACCTATATCTAAACTGGCACCTCTTTTGAGACCACTACCAGTTGGTGGGGCTCTATTTTATTTTTTCTAAATTTACTATAAAACGTTATATTTTCGCACACCCAAAATGCCTACTATTTGGAACGCAAGTGCGGGTATTCGGACACGGCCAAAGTCCATAGGCCTAGAACTGGTTGACTCACTTGAGGATCTGTGGACTGGCAAAGGACAGCAGGTCCGTTAGGAGCTTGAAGAAAGCTGATTCCCACAGGACCCCTTTAAAAGTGGTGGCGATGGTGGGGATGAGCCACGACTCGGGGTAGTCCTCCTTCTCTTCTTCTTTCTTCTTCTTCTTCTCCTTCTTCTTGTCTTTTTTATCCCCCTTTTCCTCCTAGTACAGGGAAATAGATGAATCAAAACTATTTCAGAGAAAGTTGAGATATTCAGGTAACTCAGTCTATTAAAACAGTTATGACAACCTTTTTTACATTTAAAAAAATCAAGGTCGTGGTCCATAATTGTCGGTTACATGATTATACAATGAACGTGCCAACCCGATTCAGAGCTGGAAAGAAGTGAAAATAAATCAATTTATGTGGTATAAAATATGAATATAGAGAACATTTATTGAAATTAACATATACACACCATCTTACGTAATGAAATAGGTCTAAGGTAAGATATATTTCTACCATGGTAGTTTGAGTCCATGGAGCCCATAGAAATGTTCTCCTTTTTGTAAGCATAACAGCTGATCATTTTTCATAAAGCTTGAGTGTTTGGGTGAAAACATTTATTTTGTACTGATACTGCTCACCTTGCACAATATTAGTCAAATAGAAAGTGACTGACTGTGTGGGAGACAAAACAAAATACATTTAAATAATAAACCTTTCTGTGTGTTTTTTGTGTTTTTTTGTGTGTTATTTATTTTGTGTGTGTTTGTGTGTGTGCGCACGCGCACACGCATGTGTGCATCTTTGTGCTTCTTTGTACGAGTGTGGGTTGCTCTCACCATCATCAGCACATCCTGGCTGACCCCCTTCCCCAGGCTGTTCTGATGCCCGTTTTGGAGGCCCTCTCCCAGACCTTTGCTTGCCTTCTCCCCTCTCTTCCTAATTTTCGTCTGAAGCCTGGTCCTGGCTGCTTTCAGCTCTGTCTGCATGGTCTGCTGGAAGCGCTGGCTGATCTGGAGGGTACTCTCTGCCTCACTTAGCTCCCACATGTCCTCCTGGACCAGAGGGCGCTTGAAACCATTTAGCACCATGCTGAAGGAGGTAGGGAGGGAGAGAGCGTTAAAGAGAGAAAGAGTCAAAACCAGATCCTTAAAGACCCAGACCAAGACCAGAACCCTTGAGATCCAGATCTACATCCAGACCCAATCTCTTGTGAGCCAAACTTACAGACTGAGAGCCATGTTTTGAAGACAGTGAGGAGAATAAGCTACTATACCTGTTGAACCAGTTGAAAGTGATTCTGCTGAGAAATGCGGCTCCAACCTCTGGGTTCTAAAACACACACAACAAAACAGAATTATCAACTTCTTATGTAAAACAATATCTTTAGAATACCTTTATAATAATAATATGCCATTTAGCAGACGCTTTTATCCAAAGCGACTTACAAGTCATGTGCGCATACATTTTTACGTATGGGTGGTCCCGGGGATCGAACCCACTACCCTGGCGTTACAAGCGCCATGCTCTACCAATTGAGCTACAGAGGACCACTATAGGTTGTTGAGATGCTCTTTTCCAAAATAGCTACCTGATTAATCAGTATATGTGAACAATGAAAAACAATTGACAATAATATCTGACAACTGCTCAGCACGTAGATAGGTACCTTTTTGACCAGGTCCTCTGCTTCCCGGGGGACATCTGCGAAGGCGGACAGGACGAGGGCGATCAACTCCAGCCCAAAGGAGATGTAGAAGAGGCAGAAACGAGGGAGGTCTGCGATCTCTCCCTGGAGAGAGAGGGGGAGAGAGTGCATATATAGAAGGAGTCAGAGGCTGCGGTCCAAACGCGCCTACAGACATGGCAGCTCCTAAGCAACTTTGCAGTATTTTGTTTTGAATTGTTAGATACTACTGCACTGTTGGAGCTAGGAACACAAGCATTTCGCTACACCCGCAATAACATCTGCTACAAAAAATGTCCATTGCTCGTGTTTCTTGGCCCAAGCAGGTCTCTTCTTATTATTGGTGTCCTTTAGTAGTGGTTTCTTTGCAGCAATTCGACCATGATGGTCTGATTCACACAGTCCCCTCTGAACAGATGATGTTGAGATGTGTCTGTTACTTGAACTCTGTGAAGCGTTTATTTGGGCTGTAATTTCTGAGGCTGGTAACTCTAATGAACTTATCCTCTGCAGCAAAGGTAACTATGGGTCTTCCATTCCTGTGCGGTCCTCAAAGTTCTTGAACTTTTCCGTATTGACTGACCTTTATGTCTTAAAGTAATGATGGACTGTCGTTTCTCTTTGCTTATTTGAGCTGTTCTTGCCTTAATATGGACTTGGTCTTTTACCAAATAGGGCTATCTTCTGTAAACCCCCCCTACCTTGTCACGACACAACTGATTGGCTCAAATGCATTAAGGAAAGTTATTCCACAAATTAACTTAAGAAGGCACACCTGTTAATTGAATGCATTCCAAGTGACTACCTCATGAAGCTGGTTGAGAGAATGCCAAGAGTGTGCAAAGCTGTCATCAAGGCAAAGGGTGGCTATTTGAAGAATCTCAAATATAAAATATATTTGTTTAACACTTTTTTGGTTACTACATGATTCCATATGTGTTATTTCATAGTTTTGATGTCTTCACTATTATTCTCCAATGTAACAAAATATTTAAAATAAAGAAAAACCTTTGAATGAGTAGGTGTGTCCGAACGTTTTACTGGTAGTGTATTCTTTGCTAGCTAGCAAGCAAGCGTAGTAATGTTCTCTCACATGCCGACAGATGTGTTGTTTAAATTTGACACTTCGCAGCCACTGGAGTTTGACATGTGATTACAGTTTTCATTGAATTGTGGGCCATAACAACACCCCAAGTGATTAAAGTTGTTCACTTTTTCCCTGAAGCTAAATCGAGGGCCAAGGGGGTAACTTTTGTGAAATGGACCACCACTTAAGATGGCAATCAAACTGCATTCGGTTTCGATGTGGATTCCTCCGAGGGAAAGTGTCTAGGACGAGAGCTGAGGGGGTAAAAATTACGCTATTGGACCGCCGCCAGAGAGAAAGAAAGTGAGCATTAAACACCCTGACTGTACTTAAGTGATCTTTTCTGTATCAGATAAAGTAAACATAAGTATAATAATTTGTTAATAATTTGTTCAGCGGGTTGATATAGAGGGAGTCAAAGAGAACGAAAGAGAGCATGACTCATCCTGACTGTACTAAGTGACCATTTATGTACCACATAAAGTAAACACAAGTATAATCATACAAAATAAAATAAATTTTAAAAACACTCACTTGTCTTCTCGTACTAGCACTGACTTTTCTGATAACTACTTAATTGAGGAAAAAATGTACTATATGACTGTGATATGTGGTTGTCTGACCTGGCTATCTTAAGGTGAATACACTAACTGTGAGTCGCTCTGGATAAGAGTGTCTGCTAAATGACTCAAGTGTAAATGTAATCATCTGTCATTGCTTCCTCTTTCCCTCCTTCCCACCAGCTCTCCCTCCCTCCCTCTGTACCATTCTGAGGGCCTCTCGTAGCAGGGTCTGGAAGGGGAAGATATCACAGACCAACAGGATCAGCCAGAAGAGGAACAGAGTAGCAGAGTCCACCGCTCCCTCTTTCCTCCTCACTCCCTCCTGACACAGCAGCAGCAGGATCTGAAAGGGACATACAATAATACAGTGTTTTATTTAGCAGACAACCACAGTGATAAAAAGTCACAAGGAAAACCACAACGAATCACAACCAAATAGAAACGAGATACACTGTGGCACAACTATACACTGTGGGGTGAACATTTGTGTCAAAGTGTTTGCGTCGGTCCCTGTTTTTAATTCAACACCAATTAATACATAAATAGATCAATGAAAAGGTTTACCCATGAGACAGCGAACAGAATGGGGTTGGCATAGAAAACCCCAGGATTTGTCTCTGTCACAGTGGTGTCTCTGGTTGGACCATAATCCTCTCCTAACGTCACAGCTAGACCTGCTATGGCGGTCAGCAACAACAGGCCAACCACAATCTGAGGAGGAGGGAGAGGTGGGAAGGAGAGAGAGAGAGAGATAGTGACAGATGGAGCGATGCAGCGATCATCTCTGTTACTTGCTTGAAGAAAGATTCAGCGTCGATATCACAGAGATTTTTATTTTTTTATCACACTTGAAGGTGCTTAATTTGAGTTTGTAAACGGTCAATAGTTAACCTGTTTACAGAGGTCCGAGCGTACAATGTTGTAATGAAGTCATGGCAATGATGTCATTACAACATTTATGACATCATGGTCAGGTTCTATACTGCTTGTGTAAGGATGTTTTCTTAACGTAAAAATACGTCTTTATCAGGTTGTAATCTGTGTATCTGACCAAAAAACGACCACAATATGACATATTTCCAATGATGTCTGTATGCCTTTACCTGGTTGTAACAGAAACCAGTTAGTTGCAATCTGGTTGTATATCTTCTCAACCAGAAAAGTACAGGTTACAAACAGAAAATGACATAATGTGCCAAATGTTGCCCACTGGGGTATATCTTGGACAGGTGTTTAGTTTACCTGTTTACAGAGGTATAGTTTGGACAGGTGTTTAGTGGGGATGCCCTTCCTGCAGAGGACTGCTAGGTGCCAGGGGGCACAGAGCCACAGGAAGCCCAGCGGAACCCACACCAACACGGTCTGCTCCACACACACTGGCAGGTCTGGGTCCTCACGCTGCAGGAACGACGAGTTCTAGCAGATAGAAACACATTTTACATAGTATCACACACACACACATGCACAAATACGCACACACTCAAACACACACGGTCCAAACTCACCTACTGTATGTATTGACCCAGAAGGACTCAGCCTTTCCTCCAACTCCCTGATTAGCAATTTAATCAAATATGACTCACAGGCGATTACATCTGAAGGCCAAAGTGGCATGAAACCCACCTGGAGGGAATACGTGTGTGTGTGTGTGTGTGTGTGTGTGTGTGTGTGTGTGTGTGTGTGTGTGTGTGTGTGTGTGTGTGTGTGTGTGTGTGTGTGTGTGTGTGTGTGTGTGTGTGTGTGTGTGTGTGTGTGTGTGTGCTAAGATGAGCTGTAAGATTCCCACTAGCCCCTCTGGTTTAATAACTCCGGATATGGTCCAGAGCAGGTCATAGTGTCAGACAGCTCGACACACACACACACACACACATAACGGAGTAAAAATGTTTTACTTTTAAATTAATTATATATAGCCATTGATTCTTAAAGAATGTAACTTATAAATGCTTCATGAGCTTTGTTCAACTGTCTAACCCCATCAGAACCCAAAATATAAGCTTCTTTTACTCCACTGTTTTATATTTTTTTATTTTGGGGGGGGGATGGATCAGCTTAATAATGCAGATAGATTGTAACTTCTATCAATGTAATTGTCTGCATCACTTCCAATCCCCCATGTTTTTCATATATATACTCCCCTTTATTACTTTTCAACCCCGCCATCCTTTCCCTACTTGGAGTAAATTAGTGAACAACAATGCCCAGGCCTCTACTTCCGGCCTATACTTACGATCTACCCCTTATGGACACAGTCAATTTTACAATAATTCTATTATATTTTTGTTTTGTTTTTGTTTTTGCTCCTGAACTTCTACTACTCTCAACCTCTCTGATCACTTTCACGATGTCCATCCGGTTTGCTTCTATATGCCATATCTTTCTAACTGTGCTCTTTCCCAAAAGCTCCCAACATACAACCTATATACTTATTATGGACACAGTATTTTTACATTATTAACTATCTTTGTTATTATTTGTTGTTATTTGTTATTAGTCCCATCCTTCAACTCCATTCAATACCTCCCATCTATCTCTTAACACCATCCATATAGGATTTCTATTTGCCATATATATTTCAACCATACTGTGATGTTTTACAAAAGTTCTGAACCTTTCTATTCTCATTGCTTCTACAGATTGTGAATTAAAAATAAACATTTTTGCAAAAAGTATTATTATATTATTGATCGATTGACTATGACTTTTCAGATCACCCAGTAATGCTATCTGCAAGGTTAGCTCAAAGTAAATATTGCAATCCTTTAGCCATTCCTGGACCTGTTTCCAAAAACAAGCTACAAATGGACAGAACCAAAACAAATGATCTAATGATTCTGTCTCTTCACAGCTAAATCTGCAGAGCTGGGAAGATTGTATCCCCCATATAAATAACATTCTATTGGTAGCAAGAATTTTATATAATAATTTAAATTGAAAGATTCTAATTTTTGAATCCGGTGTCGTTTTGCGTGTCAGTTCATAAACACTATTCCATGGGATCGGTACGTCAAAAATCTCTTCCCAACTATTTTGCAATCTATATGGGACGGCTGTCAATCCTTTGGTCCTTAAGTGAAACTGATATACTTTTTTATTTATCACAGTTTTCCTTAACCAATTATGTTCTTTAATGCAAGGCCGACAGACAAGTTCCTTACTTTCTCCCCCTTCCACTTTCCTCTTCCACTTTTGCGGTAAGGCTGCAATTATTTGGTTGTAATTTTGGGTAGAGCAAACATTTCCATATGTTTTTGTTAGCTGCATGTCTCCACCAGTCCTACCGATGATATCATTTACGAAGATTATACCTTTTTTAAACATTCTGTCAAAAAATAAAGGTTTTTGTCAATTAGTATATTTGAATTTAACCACAATATTTGTTGCATTATTTGTTCTGTCGTTTCTGGAGGATTAAATTGATATTGCAACCAACTTTCTATGGCTTGTGATAGTGATATTTGGGAGATAATTTCCTTTTCAAATAACTGCAAATGAGTTGTTGTAATCTGAATAAAGGGAAAAAGGCCTTTCTTGAACATTGGGTGAGACAATCTTGCTAATTTGCTTGAGAACCAGTTCGGATTTAAGTATAACTTTTGTATGACTGAAGCTTTTAGTAATAGGTCTAATGCTTTAATATTTAATAATTTCTGTCCTCCGAATTCATATTCATTATATACATATGCCCTTTTAATTTTGTCTGGCTTGCCGTTCCAAATAAAATTGAATATATTTTTCTCATATAATTTTAAAAACTGTTCGCTAGGCGTAGGCACTGTTTGTAAACAATGTAATTGTAAATTGTAGAATTTGACAGTACGTCCAACCGGCCTCACAACCGCAGACCACGTGTAACCACGCAAGCCCAGGACCTTCACATCCGGCTTCTACACCTGCGGGATCATCTGAAACCAGCCACCCAGACAGCTGATGATACTGTGGGTTTGCACAACAAAATAATTTCTACACATACTGTCAGATACCATCTCAGGGAAGCTCATTTGCATGCTCGTCGTCCTCACCAGGGTCTTGACCTGACTGCAGTTCGGCGTCATAACCGACTTCAGTAGGCAAATGCTCACCTTCGATGGCCACTGGCACACTTGAGAAGTGTGCTCTTCACAGATGAATCCCAGTTTCAACTGTACCGGGCAGATGTCAGACATTGTGTATGGCGTTGTGTAGGCGAGCGGTTTGCTGATGTCAATGTTGTGAACAGAGTGCCCAATGGTAGTGGTGGGGTTATGGTATGGGCAGGCATAAGCTACGGATAATGAACACAATTGCATTTTATTGATGGCAATTTGAATGCACAGAGATACCGTGACGAGATCCTGAGGCCCATTGTCATGCCATCACCTCATGTTTCAGCATGATAATGCACGGCCCCATGTCGCAAGAATCTGTACACAATACCTGGAAGCTGAAAATATCCCAGTTCTTCCATGGCTTGCATACTCACCAGACATGTCACCCATTGAGCATGTTTTGAATGCTCTGTATCGAAGTGTACGACAGCGTGTTCCAGTTGCCGCCAATATCCAGCAACTTCGCACAGCCATTAAAGTGTGGGACAACATTCCACAGGCCACAATCAACAACCTGATCAACTCTATGCAAAGGAGCTGTGTCGCACTGTATGAGGCAAATGGTGGTCACACCAGATACTGACTGGTTTTCTGATCCACACCCCTACTGTGACCAACAGATGCATAACTGTATTCCCAGTCATGTGAAATCCATAGATTAGAGCCTAATTTATTTATTTCAATTGACTGATGTCCTTATATGAACTGTAACTCAGTAAAACTTTGAAATTGCTGCATGTTGCGTTTATATTTTTGTTCAGTGGTAGTACTTTTTTGTGTGGTTTCAATGGGTACTTTCTGGTACTACTTCAAATAATTCATCACTATTGGGAAGTTGTTTATGGTGAGAGAAAGAGAGTGCACTCTGACTTACTAGAAGTAGCATGCACCACGTCTAAAGAGCTGAGTCAAGATTACTTAACAGAGTCATAACAACCAAGTCACATTTTCTCTCTCTGAGCTCTCTCTCTCCCTGCCCTGACCATGTCCATGGTGAGATAAGAACATTAGAGTAATCTAAACAAAGAAAAAAATTATGACAAAGCCACAATTACTAAAGGATACACTAAAGAACACACTTAGAGCTAAATTAACTTCGCATTAGAATCCTTTATATCAGAAAGTGATAATACATTTAGAGTGAAAAAATGCAAGAAGCCTCTAATTAACTTATCAATGTCTTGAAAATACTCTGCGATTCATTTTGCGATTAATCTTGGAATAACTTTTAAATGTGGTCTTTACATAAACTATTGGTTTTGTAAACGTTTTTTTCTGCAGTAACCAACCAAATGGCTTTGAAAATGTTTTAGTGACCTACTAAACAAACAGAGGCCAATGTCCTCCTGAAACAGACCAAACAATCATCCCAGTAAGTTCTCTGAAGGTTAACTGGAAGTTATTCAAGATTGAAAGATAATTAAATATTTTTAGGACAATGGATGTTTTGAAGCAAACTTTCACTGCGCAACCAAGAGCCTTTTCATCTTCAGTCTGCACTAGCTTGAAAGCAAGGTTATGACAGCATTTTTCTCTGGTAGTTCTACTCACCCAGAAGGTGGATCCACAGTACTCCTCCAGAGCTTCAGCCGGCATTGTGTCCCAAGAGTCAGCTCTGGTCAGGAAGACACGACAAGACAATAACACACACACTCCTCACACTCCACAGGCTCAGATCTGATCAAGGCTAGTCTCTCTGGCCTTTCTCCTCCAACAACAGCAGAAAACACGCACACACTCCAGAGGTTCACCTCCAAGCAGAAGATGGGACACTGCTGGGCGAGTCTTCTCGGTTTCCCCACTCCGCCAAAAGCGGAACACACACACTCCGCACCACACGCTCACAGACACTGAGACAATCGCAGGACGTGACTCGGCAAGACTTTGAGCTATGAAGCTCTTTAATGGATTGCGGTCTCCTCACACACACACACACACACACACAAACACACAACCAGGCACAGGCCAGTGGTGCATTGGTGGTCTGTAGAGAGAGGTTAATGCTTAACTCCGACCCTGACTGAAGAGATAATGCCGTTTTTAGGGCTTCTCCCCCTACTGCATCTGTAATAAAGTAATTAGCAACGTATCTGAACCTTCACACACAGAACACACACACACACACACACACGTCTCCCAAGGGTTGTGTGAGCATGCCCCGGTCCTGAAACACAACCAGTCCAACTTCTTCCTGTGAAGATCCAGCCCGCTACCGCTTCTCTTCATTCATAACAGACCTGACTAAAGTCCAGAGTTTGTGTTTGTGAGTAAAGAGAGAGAGAGAAAGAGAGAGAGAGAGAGAGAGAGAGAGAGAGAGAGAGAGAGAGA